TTGCTTCCGTTAGAGGTTGAGTCTTGTTTGAAAATCATCAGTGTTATTATTAGATTGACTGGTGCCTCAGCTATACTTGTTTCCTTATAACAGTCAGTTAGTTTGGCGCATGTTTGACAATATTTTAATATTAAACAAATATCTTTAAATTATAACACGCTAGTCACCAATACGTATTTATTAGACATCCGAGTTAAAAACTCTCGATTGCAGAATACATTATCACCTATACTTCATAAACTTTGAATAGAAAACAAAATATCGAAATTGAAACCAAGAAGTAAAAGAGCTTTAGTAAATGCTCTAGGTTCAGTAATTAGATACATTGTCGGTAATTTGGATCAAACGGATTTACAAGAACTAAACCAAAACATTCGAAGTCTTTATAATAATCAAGAGAAAACAAGTCAACAAGTTTTCGTCATTTGCAAATCACTTAACTGACAGATATGCAAAAGATCTCAATATAATCCAAGAAAACCTCAATAAGTCTCTGGATACTATTTCCAAAACAAACGAAACATTAGGTTTTGAACTGATGATGCAACAAAACATATTTAATGCCCAGAATCTTTTAGAAATCATAAAATCAGTTCAGAGAACACTCTCTAGCCTTCAATGAAATAACTAATTTAGAAATATTCGAGAGTAATGAATTGAGAAAAATTACTAACCATTTAGAAGAAACCTATCAGCCAAATCAATTAATCGATATTGACAAAAATCACCTATTTAAAGTGGTCGAATTCTCGGAAATCAAATCAGTAATAATCAATAACACTATCACTTGTATATTATTCATTCATATCCTGAATTCTACACCTATCAACGTATTTATCCTCTACCTAATATTCATTTCCAAATCTTACATCCACCCTATGGTTATGAATTACTGGAGGGTGGAAATTCAAAAACATTATGAACAAATGAAAAGTGCAAGAACATCAACGAACCCTATATTTGTATGAAGAAACCTTACGCAAACGATTGTCAATTATCTGATTCAAAAACCTGTAAATTCATTGAAGTTATTAATGATTTTCAAATTGTGAAGCAATTAACAAATAATCAGACTCTTGATTCAACCCGAAATGAACTTAAGATTTTGGAAGAATACAATGACCATGTAGAAACAAAAATTGTTCAAAATAATAGCATAGTATCGTCACCAAACAAATGTACTGTAATCATTGGAGACCAGAAATTTGAAAATCATTATTCAAATATTACTTTCAAAGTACCATGTATCTCCAAGATAAATATCCCATTAGTTCAGTCATATCATTGGAACAAATTCATTTGGAAGATTTAGATAAACTGAGAAATGAAGCTCAGCTACTAAATGACAATATAAGTTTAAATCCTATTGTACACATTATGTATACATCTGTATTAACAATAATCTTATTCATTTTTGTAATTGTATTGTTAGTTCACTGCACATGTAAGAATAGGTTTAGTAATCAATTACTCAAACGAGAAGCACGAAAGAAATAAGCACCATTGATTCAGATGACCACCATACCTCAAGAAAACCGTGGATTATACCCGATTCTACCGAAAAACGAGGACGTTTAATCTTAAGGAGGGAGGAATTATGTCAACGCAGTTGACGACCTTCATATCGCACAAATATGCCATTATGGTTGATTATCTCCTAAATAGACTTTCGAAGTTTCCAAAATATTTACTAACCATCAAGAATCGATTTAGATTAGCACTATAAATACTTGACACTGCAACGCCTCAATGTTCATTATTCATCTTGGTTTTTAAACTAGTGAATGTACCAAACTGTATTGTCACGAAATAAATTGTTCTCAAAAAGTTTATTTCCGAAGGAAACAACTCCACAAGCATACTTCGGGGTGGTAGTCGAAATAATGATTATTATTTCGGAGAGGTGCATTATGGCATGCTCAAGGTTGCCCCTTTCCTCTCATGCAGACCTACGATTTTGTAGGTACTTGTGGCAGATACACAACGGCAAAAACATGTTTTTTTCTCAAATGATGTATTTTGAGACACCCTGTACACATTGTAGTAACGCACGTTAAACATTACAGCCACATGACAATGTGTTTTTCTTCAATAATGTATTTTGAAGCACCCTGTATACTTCACTCAATGTCCGTTAAATTGCCGAAGTGTTTTTTTTCTTCAATGATGTATTTTACCACACTGTTCATATTAACGTCATGGTTCTTCTTGATGTATTTTGAGACACTGAAGGATCGCACGTTGAAGCGTTAGGGTCCTGTTAAACTGCTATGATTTTTTCTCAAATGATGTATTTTGCCACACTTTGTACAAATTGACGTCATGAAATGTTATAGCCTCGTTAAACTGTCATGTTTTCCTGAATGATGTATTTTGACGCACCTGTACACTTCGACGCTGTTTTTTTCTTTAATGCAGTATTTTGAGACATATCGTACCCGAAAACGTGAAGCTCGTTAAACTGTCATGTTTTTTCTTAAGTGACATCCTACATCCTGTAGACCCCACTGAATGTCCGGTACATTGCCGCCATGCTTTTCTTTCTATAATCTGATTCTTCATTCATAATTATTATTATGTCACTTTCGCGCTTCCAATATTTTCATCTTCATTTTTATAATTCAACTACGTTCTTTGAGTCTCTCCGATACTCAGTCCACCTTTCTCGGTTTTTTTTTCATCACTCTGAATCGTCGATGACTGCCGATAAAACAACCGCCATAAATATCAACAATTCGCAATCATTCCCAAGAACTCACGTTGGTGTCGAGACTATGGACAACGTCTACCACGTCTAAACTTAACATTTCAACCTTTTTCTTAAAAAAATTATTTAAATACTCAAAGGAGAGGAATGAAATAATGTTTTGAATATGTTTTCACATTATGTTTTCACATTATGTTTTCCAAAAATTCTAATTGATCACTTGTTCGTTATTCACAAAAAATACTTGTTTTTCACAATCTTTTTGTACGCTATACTCGGCTACTAAACTAAACTAAGATCCTACGAGAGATTATTGCTCAGAATGAATCATATATTTCCCAAGTTTTCTAGTGTAGTAAGAAATCTGCGTTTTAGTAATGATGAATCCTTGGTAAGGTCCTCGTTGATGAGATTCACATGAAATCATCTTCAGGTTTTGTTAAAAATTATCGAAGAGTTTTTGGAACGGGATTTTCCAGAATTGGTATCAAATAAATCATAGGATACCACTACACATAATTATTTCAAACAACTATGTAGATTTATATGGTAATCGAAAGTTATCTATATGAAGGTCTCATTCGAATCACATTTCGTGTTCATTTTGTCTGAAAACTAAATTAGTTTGCCTACTATTGAAATCAAATAAGGACTTAAAAGTTAAAACTGTAATTTGAATTTCAGCTTGCGAATGCAACCAACACGCCCGGCGATGCAGATTTAACATGGAACTGTATAAATTGTCTGGCCGAGTATCCGGAGGCGTATGTCTCAAATGCCGTCACTTCACTGCTGGAAGACACTGCCACTATTGCCGCGAAGGCTACTACAGGGATCCCACCAAACAGATTACCCATCGCAAGGCTTGCAAACGTAAGTAATTTTGTCAAAAATATAACACATTGGCGTACACTTTTCGTCAACTCTAACGAGTTGACGAAAAGTGCTCATTTGTTGCAACAACGTCATTACTGAAAAATTGATTTCAGAAATGACACTCTACCAGTTGAAAGTCGTCGTTATCATTAATTATGTGGTGTGGAAAACCTCAATTTTTGAGTTATGACGTTGTTGCAGGATATGAGCGAATATGAAATTTTTGTGAACAGTATCATGAGTTTTTTAGTGATGATGGTGCTTACAATAATCATTGCAGTATCATGTCTGTTTTTTACAAGTACATGTACCTGAGCTGCTTCGGAAAAAATATCTTTGAATTGATAACTTCTTATGGGAGGTAGTATGTCTGACTTTCCTTTCTACTCACTCTAACACACATCGCTAGCCATATTTCGGACAAACGACTCAGTGTTCATTGTGCGTTCAACATATACTGTTGACAATGATTATATAACATCAAACTATCACCGCTTTTGGAAGTGATTATAAAAAATTTTATGAAACAAGCAGAAGATGATCCTCGGAACATAACAGAAGAGTCTCCTAACGGAAGGTTAGTTTAATAATATAATATGATATCAATATTTATTTCAATATTTCGATAAAGTAAAAAGTGTAAAAAGTGATACAATAATATAAACTTGTTACAAAAATGCTCAAATTACTGTTAGTGAGGATGGCCGTGTCGAAAAGAATGTTACATTCGAACAGTTGAAACATGTCAATAAAATAAAACAAGTCACCACATTAAAAAAAGTTGAACTCATCAGTGATATAAGGAAGATTATTTAAATTTACAGAATGAAATCGTTATATGATTTGAAATTATGAAATACTGGCAAAAGGCATGTGGCTGCAGATTACAGAGAGAGATAATTAAACTATTGGCAGCTAACATGTGATTCAGTTTGAAAAATGATTAGTTTGTATGTCTATGTTGAACTATGGAACAAAAGAGAACAAGTATTGTGCAAGTGACCCTGATCACACTTGCACACTCTTCCATGATAGTTTTATATTTGTTGATTAGTTTCGGTCATTACACTATTTTCAAAACTTTTATAGTTTTATAATTTAATTTGAGTTTTTCATGTTTTCTTGCCTCAAACGGAGATTTGTCAAAAACTTACAACAGTCGACTCAAAACTGTTAGGGTTTCTATGAAAACTTTAAAATTGTGAAAATCTCATTCTAAATGAAGACATTTCAATCGTAATTTCCAGTAAGGTGGAAGGAAAATCGTTGAAAAAGAACTTGTTGTTTAGACTCTCCGACCCTAGGATTATCTCGTGCATCGTAAAATTTGTTTGCATACGACTAACCGTTGATTGCAATATTGGAGGATGGTTTGGGTGTTTCATAAGAACTTTTTCATGCGTTCAACTTCTATTTTCAGATCCAATTTCATCCTCAAAACTTCAGTTCTTTGGGTTCAGGACTTTTCAACTGTCGAAACTGAAACCACCACATTGTGTTTGACATATGTAGTCAACAATTTGCAATTATTACGAAAACATATATACAGGGTATTTCAAATTGAGTCGGCACCAATTCTGTTATTATTAATGCCACGAATTTGGTTAAATGGGCAAACTAATAGCATTTTTTATGGTCTCCTCGATGCCAAAAACAAAAAAATTGACAGTCGCGTTTTCAAAATATTCTATAAAATGATGTTTTTTTAAATAGAACACCCTATATTTCATCATGCATTTCGATTCGTAAAAACATTCTCAACAACAATATCCAATATCCAATAAATATTAATTTATTTTGTTAGCATAAAAAATTGATTGTTTTGTCAAAAAACACCTCAAGATTGTCCAAACATTCTTATACGAATGACAACATTTTGTTACTAACAGCAAAAAAAAAAAAATTGCGATGGGATTTGAACCGTGATACCCGTTATCATCATGTCGTACCACTCACTTGACACCACTGAGCTATTTGGTATTAATTCACAAAACGATAATTTCCATCTAGAAGTCATTCCACATTCCAAAATATGTTTGCTATATCGATAACATTGAAGCCGTTTTTGTACAGAACCGAAAATACTGGAGCGTCATATTAATGCGGTTGGAAAAATTAGGTTTGATTCGATTAAACGGAATTATTGTGAGTAATCAAGTTGCCTTGAAACCTTGTTGAAGTAACTAATGCCAAATATCCTCAAGTATGGCAATGTCATAAATTATGCGCTATCAACTACGGCGTTTGAAAAAATCTGTTTTTCCATTAACCAGCTGTCGGTATCGTTTGATCTTCTCTAGAGAAGATCCAACACAAAGAATAGTACCTGATGTAATCCAAATAAAGGCAAATTTACCTAAAGTACCTGGAGTACCTGCATTGAGGCGTTTAGACCGTATAAAAGGACATACAACAGGATGACACGTTCAGTTTGAGAAGAGCCTAGATGATGACAGTACGACCAGCTGTCGAAAGCGCTCGCAGAACCCAGTATTTTCAATTGGTTTTTAAATTCTGCATTGAATTCTGAATTCATCCATATAGCACACTTGTAGTTTTCCTAGAAAACTGATGAAAAAGGGCAATTTCATTGCGTATTATAAAGAAGGCCATGAATAAGTCAATAAATGCAATAATGTATTTATCGATCTGTCAGGAGACCTGTCAGTTTGGACGAAAGTGTATTCAGTTTTGTGTTGGTTTTTCGTAAAATTGAAAAATGGTTCAATTTTCAAATGCAGAAAAGTTGGATATGATATGTATTTATGGCGAAGCAAGAAGAAATTCAAGAGAAGCAGTGAGAATATACGCTAATCGGTATCCAGACAGAAAATTACCGTCAAACAAAACATTCGCTGGCTTAGCCAAATCTTTGGCACGAAATGGATGTTGTAATGAACGGAAGCGAAAAAAAACAAAAACGGCAACTGATGAGAATCACAGTGCAGTGCTAGGTCAAATGTTATTGGAACCACATAGTTCCACCAGACAAGTAGCAATGAATTGTGACATTTCGAAATCGTCAATACAACGTATTTTGTCAAAAAACAAATTCCATCCATACAAAATAAATTTGGTTCAAGGACTACATCCAGGTGATAATCTTCATGTTTCATTTTTATTAACTAAAATATATTCCCATATTCAGGAGATGCTGATAGAAGATTGAACTTCGTTGCATGGTTGTCCACCCGTATTCATGATGATGATCAGTTTCTGAAAAAATATTGTGGAGTGATGAAAACCGTTTCCATAACAACGGTAAAATGAACAAACTTGATTGTCACTATTGGTCTGACGTGAACCCTCATTGGGTGCAAGAAACGAGATTTCAGTCTGTGTGGGGGGTTAATGTTTGGTGCGGAATCATTGATGGTTATTTGATAGCACCTCATTTTTTTGAAGGAATTCTCAATGGGGAGAGGTACTTGGTTTTTCTACAACATGTGTTGCCGAATCTCTTGGAGAATTTACCAATACAAATTCGACTGATTATGTGGTTTCGAAAAGATGGGGCACCTCCACATAATAATGGAATGGTTACTGAATATTTGGATGACACGTTTACTGAGAAATGGATTGCAAATAAGGGTCCAATACCATGACCAACTCGAAGTCCAGATATTACTCCACTAGATTTTTTTTCTGGGAATATATCAAAGACTTAGTTTATATGCGACGTCCACAAAATGTAGAGGATTTGAAAAATAGTATCACAAATGTTTGTGCTTCCATAACGCGAGAGACGCTTTCAGCTGTCACGAATCGGGAAGTACAATATGTGTACTCTACGTGAAGGGAGGCAGTTCGAACACTTACTAAAATGATTCTCGTTGTCACGTTAGTCGAGTTATGGTCAAAGTAACATATTTTTTGGTAATTTGAAACATTCATTTTAATTTATTCAGTAATACGCAACTAGATAAAATTGAACAGACAATGAACTCATAACTGATGGATTCATTTTATTAAACTCATATTATTGCATTCATTTTGACTTATTCATGGCCCTCTTTATAATACGCAATAAAATTGCCTTTTTTCATCAGTATTCAAGAAAGACTACAAGTGTGCTATATGGCTGAATTCAGATTTCAATGCAGAATTCAAAAACCAATTGAAAATACTGGGTTACCATTAAAAAAATTGGCGTCGGTGTCGCGACGCCCTAACGGATGACGCCTAGTGCTGGATTTCTACGTAAATAATAGGACTCTTTGACACCAAAATTATCTGCTTTCACGAAATATGGATATTCTTTTCATCATCGTCATCGTCAACGTGGACTGTACATATTACAAAACAATGGAGTAAGAATAGATCAAATAACAAAAGAAATTAACGAAATCAAAAACTATTTTTCAGCATTGAAGAAGAACACAACTCAAAACTTAACTACCTGGACATAACCATAGAATATAACCACAACAAAGCACAATTTCAAATGTTAATATACAGGAAACCTACACAAACAAGCTCCACCATACCCGCAAGTTCAAACCATCCACCATCACACAAAATGGCGGCCTATAACGCATTCATTTATATAATGCTAAGGATACCACTCAGCAATGAAGCCCGAAACAAAGATAAATTTGAAAACAGAATAAAAAAAAACAGAACAAGAATCAAGCCACCCCAATATACAAAACAACAGAACGATGGACAGCATGTACGTACGTAGAACACCAAACCAACAAACTAACAAACGTCTTCGAACCACTGAACATCAACATCACATACAAGCCAAACACGAAAATAATACAAAAAATAAACAACTATGAATAAGAAGAAGACAAAAACCAAAACGGGATATACAGTATACAATGTTCGGACTGCAACAAATTCTATATCGGCCAAACAAAGAAAAAACTGATCTAAAGGTACGAGGAGCACAAAAAGGCATACATAAATCCAATAGTATTAAAATCAAACATCGCAACACCCGCCATACAAAACAAACATAATTTCACCCCACCAGAGAATATAAAACTCAT